TTTTGACCCTTTTTTTTTTCCGTTAATGGTCATTTTGAAATGACCATTAACGGTACTCTTCAGCACGTGTTGGCCTTTTTAGAAACGCCGTGCTGTGACTTGTAGGAACAAAGATCCTTTCATATGTTGGACCATGTTGTTTGCATGTGTCTAAACTTTGTATGGTACCTGCAAACTACAATTGAAGTCTTTCTATTGTGTTCCTTTTTCCCCTTGGATGCTGCTGTCAGGTATTCAGAGTCTTGTCGGCACTAATAAAGTGAGCGGCTCTTTAGGAATAGACATGAAGGGGGAAGTTGGTTTGACAGACTGGCTGCCCTGCATACTGCTGAGGATTCCAAGAGCTGTATGTGTCTCTTGATTCTGTGTTTGGGGCCTAGTTCAGCGATCATTCACGCCGTTCTAGGTTACATGTGAGCTCCAGCTATAGAAGTTTATACATACATGACGTTGGTCTGGCTTGGCACAGTGTCATTCTATATAAATGATCCCTGCTGTTTCCATTAAAGTCCCTGGGTCAAAGAAGCGCCTTATCTGGCAAGAAGAAGCTCATGTACTATTTTCCAGCAACAGGCGTTTTGCTACAAGCGACACAACACTCAGATGTGCACATGGCCATAGACATTACTGGGATTTTGTTTTTGGGCTTTTTTTTTTTTTAGGGTACTAAAAACCCAAGTGTTGTGTAAATGAAGCCTTAGTATTCATTGAGAAAGAGGAGAGGAAGTTGCTCCGCACAATGGTTGTTCCTGTACCTGGATGATCACTGTAAGACACTTTGGTTGCTGTGGCTAGTACTGTATTTTAAGGGCTTGTTCACACCAAGCACAGAGCAGGTGCAGAGCAGTCACAGAACGCATCAAAAATGCATCCAATGTATTCCAATGGTATTTCGGGCTCTAGTTCACACCAGAGCGTTCCGCTCCAGAGCATGTGGGGGAAAAAGGCAGCATGCCCAATTTTTTTATGCTCTGGAATGCACCAAAACGCCCTGGAAACCCCATTTTAGGCTAAAAAACAAATACATTTTTTTTTAAACTGCCCAGAACACGGCAAAAACACAGCAAAACACACTGCACGTGCAGAAACTCATGCAGATCTGGTCAGCATTTGGTGTGAACAAGCCCTAAAGCAGGAGTAGCCAAACTCTGACCCTCCAGCTGTGGTGAAACTACAAATCACATGATGCATCTCTCTCCGGGAGTCGTGGCTGCGAGACTCTTGCAGTGCCTCATGGGATTTGTAGTTCCACAGTTGGAGGGCCGGAGTTTGGCTACCCCTGCCCTAAAGGGTTCCATGGCCCTGCCAGGTATACATTGTGCAAAGCTGGGCTTATGTTATGCTATGTGAATGGGAACATGTAACAAATATAAAGTATGTGTCATCCCAGTCTGGCTGCAAAAGCAGCAATACACTTTAGGCTCTGTTCACACCTAGGCGTATCAAATTTGCTTGTTTGGTGATGCAAGTTTTTACAGTGAATCGCGGTAAAAAAATGCACGACAAACGCGCGTTTCCGAGTGCTACTTGGCTGTATCCCAATGGAAACGCGCAACAAAAACGCAGCAAAGAAGCTCATGTAACTTTTCAGGCGTAGGTCGTTTTGTAGCGCGTTCAGACGTGCTGAAATACGGCAAGGTGTGAACCATACCCATAGAAAACAATGGGATTTTCATGTTTGAGCGTTTTGTAGAGCGTTGAACGCGCTACAAAACGTACAGGTGTGAACCAGGTCTTACTGTCTGAGCATAGGTCTACTCTGCTATAGGATAGTTATCTTCACACTAATCTTGGTTTACTAAGGCTAGGTTCACACATGGGCGTACGGAATATGCGCGTTTGCCGCCGAGCGTTTTACCTCTATTTGCGGTAAAAGAAACGCGCGTTTACGAGTGCTATCCAACTGTATCCTGATGGATACGTGCGGCAAATACGCCCCAAAGAAGCTCCTGTACTTCTTTGGGCGTAGGGTTTTTTCAGCGCATTCCTACGTGCTGTAAAACGCCCATGTGGCAACCATGCCCATAGGCAATTATTGGTTTTCACATGTTGAGCGTTTTACAGCGCGTAGGAACGCGCTGTAAAACGCCCAGGTGTGAACCAGGCCTAAAGGAGTAGAACATATTCACTTTCAGAGTGATGAACAAAGTGAAAACTCTTTTCAAAGAATACCAAATGATGTGCAAGGGACATTGGCAGGATTTTTGCTTGCACATGATTGGATAATTGAAGTTAGCACAACTTCACCTCCTTCACTAAGCTAAGTGAAAAATCACTTTAAAAGTGAACATGCTTTAGTAAATCAAATGAACTGTCTTATCAGTGACCTGGTGCAGACACAGATCAGGAATTGTGATTGTACTGGCTGCATGCAAAGTATTGAATTCCTGAGAATTTGACGCAGTGACTGCACATTGAAGGAATCCGGCCGTAGTGTATGTTTGGGTGAAAGTTCCTGATTGGTTGGAGAGATGCTCCAGTGCATTATAAACACTTGCAGGCACTTTGTTACCTTTGGGAAGGTAACCTTTTCCCCTGCTTGATTGTCATGGGTAACGTGTGAATGTGAGATGTCAATTCAAGTAATATTCATATTGAAAATGACGGTCTGCATAAAAAAAGTGTTTCCCGATACAATTGGAACCTTCCCTGCGTTGTTGCTTCATTAGCTGTACATAAATCTTGGAGGCCGTTGCATAAACACCTGTATCTGCTCCAACAATGGTGAGATAATGGAAGTGAACCTTCAGGCCTTGTTCACAGCAAATGCAGAGCAGATCCGCTCAAGTTTCTGCACACGGAGTGCAGTGGGGTTTGCTACATTTATTCCGTCGTGCAGCGCTGTACTGAAATTAATTTTATACCATTTTTTTATTTTTTTTTAGAGAGAGAGCTTTCTTTTGGTGGTAAAAAATTACCGAGATTTTACGTTGGGTAAAAAGACACCAAACATGTCAAGCCTTAAAATTGCGTGCGCGCGCGAAACCTCAAGAAAACGATAATACCCATCAAATTTTCAACTACCACCATTTTATTCTATAGGGTCTTGGCATTCAGAAAATATATAATGTTGGGGGGTTTTACGTCATTTTCAGGCCTAAAATGTGGAATATAACATGGGTGCAAAAATTGAAAAAAGGGCCTCAGTCATGAAGGGGTTAAAAGGTTTTACCGCTCATCAGTTTAGTGTTATCAGTGATTGATGGCCCTAAAATTATTGCTCTCACTGCGAAGTTCGCGGCGATATGTAACGTGTGTAGCGCAATTGTCATTTTCGAGCGCTGGTGCACCGGACGCATATTTACGTTTATATGTGCGTAAACGTGGGGGAGTTAAACATTTTTATATGTGACTTTTTATTTATATATATTTTTTTTTGCACTTATTGTTATTGCTATTATATGGGGGATAACAATCCCCCTATATAATAGCAAAGGCACACTGACAGGTCCTCTTTATGGAGACATTAGGGGTCTCCTATGTCACCTGTGGACCCCAAAAGAAGCTGATGACTGACGGAATGAATGCGGAAGTGATGTATTACACACAGGAAAAAAGTTGTCTGGAGACGGCAACCCGCCAATGCAGCAGTGCCGTCCGTCCGTTTTTTTACAGCGGACGGCAACTGGTTAACATGGGCTTATAGTGCGTTCCAGGCATTTGCATGCGTTCCAGAACAGATCCAGAGCAGGTAAAATAGGGCCTGCTCCAGTTTTTTCACCTGCTCTGCACGCTGCGATGTGAACTGGAGCAAAAAATACCATTGCAATACATTGGACGCAGTTTTGATCCGGTCTGCAACTGCTCTGCTCTGCACCTGGTGTGAACAAGGCCTTACTCATTTGGAGTAAATATTCTTAACTTCCTTAGTAAATCAGCATCAGTGTTTCTTTATTTTGAGGGGGTGTTGGGTACTGCTTTCATGTTACCCAATTGTTCATTACCAGGAAGGTGTTAGGGCTTGTCCACACCAGATCCAGACCAGATCTTGATGTGTTTCTGCATGTGCAGTGTGCTTTTAGCTGCATTCCAGTGCATTTATTTTAGCTTAACCTCCCTGGCGGTCTGATTATTTAATTCCCCCCCCCCCCTCCTATGTTC